GTAGCTATGTCCGTTGTATACTGCTGCTCTGACTTACCTTGACTTAACAGTCTCTAATGCGACCATATGCTTGGATATGGTTACGATCCTAAAACTGTAGTCGACATTGAACTTAACATTGTTTGTTTACCTATGTAACATGAAGACTCAAGATCTCATCCACTTCATACTTANNTTTTACCTAAGCTCTTTCGGATTGCACCAGACACGGTTGAGCACTTCATCTTCGTACAGGCTATGTTCTTCTGAGATGCTGCGATGTCACTTGTCGTGTTAAAACACTTGCGAACAAACTCCTGATAAAGATATCTTATGAAGCCATATATCATTATAGAGTATATCATTTCTAATGTTTTTCTGTTGGCTTCCGCTGTTGGATCTCCTTGTTGTCCTAGTCACTTACACATGGTAAGCCTAACATTATATTTGAAGATCTGATTAATACATTCATCTGCATATTCATCGGGCTTCCTTGTATTAATTAGGTCTTCAATCGGGGCTAGCTGTTTGACACCACATGCGCCGCTTATGATCTTGCTCGGGTTTCGTTTAACAAACCCTCGGATCCTATTTAATATATGCGTTCCACCATACAGAGGACACCCAAAAACAAACGAAAGAGGCCCGACCCATAGAAAACGAGCGGGACACCGAAAGCATTTTGCAACGCATAGCCTTATTGTGATCCGATAAAAATGCGCAGGTGGTGGCAAGTCACATATAGCAAGGCATTTCAGCAGAGCGGATTATAAAACTTGGTTCGGAGTGCCCCAGAACAGCTTCTCGCACAACATAGGTGACGCCACAGTGACTACAAACAAGCATTTGTGCAATCCCTTGTTGGGGATGAGGAGAAGTACTCCGAGTCTGGTCATAGCAACTATATTAGTGGGTGTCCACTGCACTGGGTTCCGCTATGTTTTTGCTGGCTTCGCATCTCCACCCCCGATGCGTTCATTGAAATCAAATAGGTTCGTCGCTCTTAAAGGGTGCTCCTTCCTGATCACGAAGGCATCTGTTTTAACTCTCCAGGCTCTTATATGATTTTCTGTTAACTTGGTGTAGTCGGTGTGCGTTTTAAAGTTATGGTGTTGCGATAATAATTTTGTATGTATACAATGTCCGCTTCCTAAGGTGGCCTGACCCGTCATTGTGAAGCAGTAATATGTGTTGTCCATCTCCTTTGCTACGAAATCAGAGTCTGTTGCGCCATTAATGTTCTCAACTTCATCAACATACATGCCCGAGATTCTGTTCACCTTTCCGCTGATCTTGTTTTGATAGTATAAGGCTTCCTTTAGAGTATCAAAAGCATAGCGTTTCTGGGCTTTATTCGTCTTCTTCTCAGGCAGCCCGCAACCACAACAACAGCAGGAGCAGCAGCATCATCATCATCTCTGCCTCAATGGGGCCCTTGAGCGCATCTTCGTCCAAGACCAAGTATTGAAATACAGTTTACAACATCTCTGCGCCTGGTCCGCTCCAATGGGAATGAGCACGTTGCCGCCTCTACCCAAGACAGCTGCAGCCTCCACCGGGGTGCCGAAGCTAGCGATGATCTGATGGCCATGACACAGATTGAGATTGTTGCTGCATGGTAGATTTGACTTGTGTTGTTGGTGGTGGTGCGTACTGGTGCCGGAGCTGGAAAAACGTACAGGTATGCGTAGCCACTGTGGGTGACAGCATCCGCCTGGTGCGAAACCTCCGGCAGACTGGCGCGAACTTCTGCGCCTTCCCCCTCTTTGGCAAGGCCTTGTTTCGGACAGCACATTTCTGCCGCGGCCACGTGTTTGCCTCGGGACTTCTCTAGTGCATTCGAGCGACATGGGCACACCACCACTTCAGCTTTCCGAAGGACCTGTCCAGCGCATCGGTCCAAGAAGATCAGAAACAGCGACTTGGCTCTTCCTGTCGCCTCCGTCTCCAGCCCCTGGGACACAGGCACCGACAGGGCACAAGCCGCGCCAAGGACCGCGAGGCGAATGCCCAAAGCCTCGGAGCCGAATGGATCCCAGAAGCGCGGTCACTGCACACTCCTGCGGCCTCCAGGGACCAGAAGGAACCACCCAGACTGGCGCCTGCCGAAGAAAGGCTGACAGTCATCGAAGTAATGTAGGGGCCTTACTAGGATAATATACCCTACATACCCTAAACCCTATTCTAATTATTAAGGCCCCTTTCTTAATCATTCCGCCCCGGTCCTGACGGAGCTGCACTGAGGAAGATCGGCCCATGCTCTGCCTCGACGGTCGCCTCCTCCCAGGGGCTCCGACCTAAAGTTTAATTATTATATTACATTGTTAATTAATGTATAATATTTGATGTATAATATTTCTTTACTATTTAAACATACTAAATAAATAACACCAGTGAAAATATCCCCCCCAACTTCCGGGCTCCTGTCCGTAGCTGAGCTCCTCCGCCTGAGCGAAAGCTTCCTGGAGCTCCTCCGGGTTCAAGCCCTTCTCCCCTGGCCGAGAACGGCTAGGGTTTTTTTTCCCTCTCGCATGGCTGAGGTGTTTAGGGTTTAGGGTTTTGGGGTTTGGGGGTTTAGGGTTTAGGCTTCGGGGCATTGTGCCGCTGATACTCTCAGAGAGCTACATATTGTGATGCGAGTACTGCGGGGCGACAGATGTGGACGAGCGTGATAAGGATGACAGTCATGGTGGTGAGAAGGACGATGGTGATGCTGATGCTGATGGTGAGTCCTGTGCCACGGAGTGAAACAAGCATTGGAACCTTAAGCTTTTGGCCACTGTTCCACGCGCCGCCTGCTGAAGAAATGCTCAGTGCCACTTTCACCGCCTGACAGCGCGTGGAAGCGCATGTATGTGAGTATGTGTATATAATTGTGTATATATATACACACACACATGCACGTAAGCATCCTTGCATCCTTGCAAGCATGCACGCACACACACACACACACACATTGGCAAACCAGCAGGGTGCGAAAGAACGATAGATACTTGCCTGAGAGTTACCTCAAATCTGAATGAAGTAGAACATGCACAGTCTGGGCTCAGTAGTCATGGATGTCAAACACAGCCAGACACCAAGCAGATACACACATTTTAACACCCGCAGACACAAGCTTTAGATGGTGAGTGTTCATGCCATTTTCTGTCCTGCTCATCCTGCGCACGGAACATGACCAGCCACATCAAGAAAGGGCAGCGTCGAGAAATGCGCAGTCTTTCGACGCGGAGTCTTGGAAGCGATCCGCTGAAGCGCGCGGCACTTGCCGCGCTGCAGCGTTCTGGAATGCACAGAATCACCTCGAGAAGTGCAGCCCGCTGGGCCGGTAACCCCAGGCCGGCCAGGCCTTCCGGTCGCTGGGCTTGAGGGCGATCCTCTAGCCAACATCAGCCAGCACAGCCAAGTGCGTCTACGGTCGCTGCAGAGGTTTGGGACGTCATCTTCTTGCTGCTAGGCGGAGCGAGTGTACCTGCCACAAAGCTGCGTTTCGCGGCTAGTCTCCAGGCTTGAGAAACCACCAAAGTTCTGCCGAGAAGTTCACGTCCAAGCCGTGGGCATCGGCAAACTCGTTGACAGCTCTTACGACCCCGGGCCATGTGATTGTATAGTCCTTACATCATGCCGGGCAGTTTGGACGATTTTGCGACAACACTCACCACCAAACGACTAAACGTGCTATCAATGTAAACAGGCTCCACACGGAGCATTTGTGCACCCAACACCCGCCAGGTCGCATGGCCAACCATGGCTCCACCCGTCCGGAGGATGGGCCACCAGGCGTTGAGGTCCGAAGCGGCACCTTCGTAGCTGTGGTCGCCATCCACGTACACGACATCCATGGAGCTTCTCAACCAAGGCGAAGTGAATGTCACACCAAAAAAAAAGAGAGCGGCAAAAGAAGGCAGACTTGACTTCACCCTCCATTGCTTGAAGCCCTTTCTGAAATCTTTGCAACCTCAATATTTATCCCCTACCCCCCCCCCCCCCCCC